GTCATACCCTATGGCTCCCCGCACCATGATGTCATACCCTATGGCTCCCCGCACCATGATGTCATACCCTATGGCTCCCCGCACCATGATGACTGGAGTAACGTAGGTGTCTCTCTGCACAACATTGGCAGGATTGGTCCTCTCCCCTCGAAGCTGCCATACGCACACATGATGGTCATCTGGTAATGCAAAACAGAGAGTCATCGCTGAACATGGTACGATGGGACTTGTCATTAGTCCATACCTCCTGGTTCTGCACTGGTGTTGACAGCAGCCTAAGCATGGGACAGTGAACCCATAGTCCGGCTGATGCCAGTCAATGAGTCACAGTGCGGGATGACAGGGGGTGATGTAGAGAGTCCAGTGCCTGTGTCCAGATGGCAGGCGCAGATATCATGGGGTTCTGTAATGCTTGGTGCACAATACAATGATCCTTCGTTGGTGTGGTCTGTCTTGGGTGACCGGAACCTTCATGACGTGTGTGGGTGCTCTCACATGCCCATTGGTTCCAGCATTGGCAACTGTAACATCTGCATGCCCCACATGTCGGGCAATTGCAGGATACAACCACCCAACCTCATGAAAACCCACAATGGGACCCCAATCAAACTCCGTGAAGTGCTGGTAATGCTGTCTAATGCGCCCAGGAGGCATCTTCTGTGGTTCTGTGGTGACTAGACGTGCCAGCGCCCTGCAAATTGAATCATTTACATGCCCATCGCTGGTCTGCATGTGTGCCAAATTACATCCAAATCGGACCATTACTTCTGGGTGCTCCAGTTTTTTTGTCACTGTATATTTGCATCAGTTTGATACATTTTGCCACATAGGTGCACCACTAAATGTACAGATTGTCCCTTAAGTCCCTAGAGCAGAGTTCCTGCCATACTTGAACCAACTTACGGAGGAAAGTTCCCAGGCCAGAAGCAGGGAACTGCAGGTAACTTGGCATTTCTATTAGTCTGCGTTCTTCTTAAAAGTAATTTGTTTTCCCGTCATGGATGATGCAATGTTTTTGAAGAAGGCAATGCTGGAATGGTGGATGTTGACTTTGTATGCATTACTCCTACAGAAAACAGGGAAATCTTCGCCATGGGTTGTCAAAGGTCAGTAATGTTCAGCAGCTAAATAATGCAGATGATGTGGTGTCTCATGCTTTGGGTTATTTTTTGTGTATTAACAGTCGGTCCATGTGAAACATTCAAGAGGATGGCATTGTGAATGAACAGCCATGTTTTTTGCTAAATAACCCCCCCCACACACACACACACACACACACACACACACACACACACACATTAACTGTCCTCTACTGCTTCTCTCATCACCAGCCGGAACCCTGAAGTCTCCCTACATTAAGATTGAGGATTCCAGCAGGTCAGTGGATGTTAGGTGGCGAAAAGATAAACCTGCTCAGTCTTCCCTTTCCAGCAGCCACTGCTGGCCCTGATAAAGGCTGCCTGTCTTCCTCTTAAACCCAGGCTGCTGAGTCATTGTAATAAATTGGAGTTGCTAAAATGTAGTTTAAAAAAAAAAAAACCCCCGTGCGGCTGGTGTCGTAATGGAAACCAGCAACCACCACCCCAGCTGGCCCCGGGTGTCCAGACTTTCCCCACTCAACTGCCCCTGACCCCCCGGGCATGTAAAGGGATCCTGTCAGGAGCCCCATGGTTAAAGTTTAAACACAATCAGGGGAGACACCTGGAACAGAGCCGGCGCTAATGTGCATGCATGTTGCCTGTGGGAGAGGGCTGAGGTTTCATCGCCGTTTCTGCCGCTGTCTGCTCGCCTGGAGGGACCGCAGGCCTTTCCGGCCGCACCTGCGGCTCGGTTAGTGAGCCGCCGGGGAAAGCGGGTGGGTGCTGCATAGCATGAACAAATCCACGCCTGATGCACCTTCACCTGCGGCGGCTGTGTTCCTCCTGCATGTTCCTCAGATGCACCACCTGCGATGGGCCTGTGGGACAGCAAGTCATCCTGAGGACGTTCTAGGTCTAGGTTTCTGTATTGGAAAGAAAGTCTCTGCAAAGTTGCTTGGCACAAAACCCCTCAATTTCCCCTCAAAACAAACAAATTGATGAATATCAGCAAGTTGTGTGTACATTTTTTTTTGTGAACAGCTTAGTAATTGCAGGATAGTTTTTCTATGTTTTTTAATGGCAGTTTGGTGTGTGCGCAGCATTTTGACGGCTCTTCCCGTCTTGTGTAAATAGGAAATATAGACCTCTTCACACGCAGTCAGCAGTCTTCCCCATGCTGGACTTTGCTGGCAAGTTTAGTCCGTTTGAGCCACCCGCCCCTATGCCTCCTCCAAAGATGAAGAACCAGGAGGACGATCAACACAGCAAAGCAAAGTCAGTCGTCATACGGTCTCCACGTTGTGATCAGTTCTGCTTTACAGGATTACAGGCCAGGGGACTTTCGGTGACTCTGACTGTGCTGCAGTGACAACCTGCCAAGTGAATGTTTGTTTTTTATTTGCAAACGTCTGATTTAGGTTGAATTGACAACAGTTACTGGTTTTGGTTAATGTGGTTTGGCATGCTGCCACGTTTAGTAGCCAGAGTTTGGTAATTCAGGTCCCCTGACTCTGTGACTGTGACTTTTACTCTCTGGACCTGAATTACCCAACTCTGTTAGTAGCGCATGTGTGTTTTTGGGGTGGGTTGAATGTAAGTCGTCTCCCACCTGCACCACAATGTTCCAGGAAAAGGAATGTGGATGCTGGAAGCAGCCGGGATGCAGTAGGACGGCACCTCCCGCTGACTCTGACTCCTTCGCCCCCCCGGGTGCGCAGGAAAACCCTGGGATTCTGCGAATGCTGCCAGCTCTCTTTCAAGGAAGAGGCAGAGGTGAGAGCGTGCCCCCGCCCCCTGGCGCTAACCCTGCGGACCCGCTGGGCACACAGCACTGCCATCCAGCAACACGGCAGGTTAATTAGGCCTTGCTGAGCTGTTGATTAAATTCTTGCTGTGATTTAGCACATCGTGGTATTTGCGGGTGCTGGAGGTTGTTTCTGCTGATTCACAGGTGAAAGGGGATCTCTTTTTGTAGAATAAAATAAACATATTTACATTAAAGACTTTTTATTGGTAAACACCCATGAGTAGTACTTACAGATTTTATTTCCACTGTTCTGTTTAGATATGTTTTACCGGTGCAACTGCATTACCTTATAAAACTCATGTAGCTGTTAAGTAATATTTAATCTGCACTGATACGTCATAAATCCTCAGTCACAAGGACGAGAATATACAGCCAGGTCCTGGACTTAGCAGTGAGACCCGTTCTTCACTGAGGGTATCAAAGGACGGACGGACGGAGGAGCCCTTTCTCAGCGTGTCTGCTGCGTGTAGCATTTGTGATTGTGTGATTCCCTGCTGCCTTGCTAACATCCACAGCACCTGCAGTCAGACCAGCACCGCCAGTTTGCCCGAGATGAGTCCCACTATGCCGTGGTGGACAGGCTGGTCTCCCTCATGCAGCCAAACTTTTCTGAGATCATGGTCCACGGCCACATGCTGATACGGTGAGTCCCAGCTTCCATTTATCTCCATACTGGCTGGCATCTGAGGTGACTTCTGTGCTTCTGCTAGGTGTAATTACACTGATGCGGTTTGTAATTGGACTTTAGGAATATAAATCAAGTTTAAGTATATTAACAAAAATGTACTAAGTAGCTTAACTGGTGACAGTGTGGGATATACTTCGTACAGTTGTACAAAGTGAAATTTCTTTTGCAGTTTATTCGAGTGCTATAATTGCTGTTCTTGTTTCCTTTATTTTAGCGTTAAATGTTATTTCCTGGCTGGCTCAGTGGTAAAGGTGTAACGATAGTTTACTCACCATTCGGTTCGATAGACGATTCAGGGCTCATGTTTCAATATGCTAACAATATATTCAGCTATATAGTACTGTTGGGCTGAACGTTGTATGGAAAATATGTAATTGCATTTTATATATATATATATATATATAATTTTTTAAAAGTGAAGCTTCCGTTCATTATTCAGTGTAATCGATTTAAAATGTGATGCAGCATTACCACATGAGATACTATCAACATATTAAATGGTCTATATTCTACTGTAAGGATGAGAACTTAAACATGTGAATTGCTTCCAACATGTACTTATTACTTTTTTAAAATTAGAAGACAACGATCAAACATAAAACACTTATCACATAAACTGACTGTTAAGCAAAATAAAGTAATAATAAAAATAAGATGATTTCAGTAAGACAAAAACAGTAGGGATCCTGTAGCTGCTTAGAACACAGTTATGACAGAATTCCATGGTTGTATAAAAGAGATTTACGTACGCAGATGTACTATGGAACTATGGAATTGTCATAATAACCACTCCATAAATAACAGGACCTTTCTGTAAACAATCTCTGGCCATGAAAAAGGTAGGCAGCATAGCCATTTTTTCACACCACAGAATTCCTTAGGTTTCCTTGGGTTTCGCGAGTTTCTTGTTTGCGAGCATATACATGGTCACCCTGGGTCACTTCTGTTTGGGGAGCATGACTAGCATGTGAGGAGCACAGCACTTTTGATTGATGAGAATGACTGTTGCACATAATGCAGTTCCCAAATTTCAGCCTTTGCGATTTGCTAATCGTATTGCCTCAAATCGTGATTTCGTTTTGAAATCAATAAATCATTCAACCCGATAATACTGAAAACAAACTAAGATCTCATAGTGCTTATTCATTCCTTATTAGGCATGCACATTTACAAAAAAAAATGTTCAAAACATTCCTTTTTCTTTGTTTTTCCTTATTCAACAGACTCCAGTGCAAAAAGCAAAAATAGTCTCAATGCCTTAACTTAAAAGCGTTTTTTTTTTTTTACAATAGATCCCTGCATTCTTGAAACCGAAAAAATAAGAATAAATCAGAATGTTCTTAATGTATAAACAATATATAAGACTGGAAACAAAGATCTGTTATTCCTTTTTAGGCTCATTTAAAAGAAAAGCTGTTTTATAACCATTTCTTTTTTCTTCCAGTTTTTTCTTATTCTGTGTAATGCAAAATGCAGATATAAAAACTGAGATTACACCTTCTTGCATTAACATTAATAAATTATTTTATGCCACGGTGCCTCGTTACACCCCTACAATGCGTATCCTCATATTTTTGAATCGCAAATATATTGTGCCTCAGTGCATTGTGGCACATCTGCTCAGTGTGTGTCACTGCTGTCGTACATCTTTAGGGATTGGGTGCTTGAATCCTGCCTCCAATCTGTATGCAGAGTCTGCATGTTCTGCCAAAGTTTATGCAGTACTCTGGTGACTGTAAATTGCCCATAGTATTTTGTGAGAAAGACTGAGTATGTGCCCAGTGACAGACTGTCCCTGTACTGGAAGACGGGGGAATAGATTGTGCTTTTTCAGGCTGGTAGCTATCAGTGAGATGATCATGTTGTGTGGATTTGTTGCCCTGCCAGGTCTCCTCCTCGATTTCTCCACGCACATCCAGGCCTGGACCTAGAGCCCCAGGTGAACAGTGACGCAGATCTGGCCTTGCAGGCCCTGCTGTCGCCGCTCCAGCCAAACGGCAGCCCAGCTGCCCAGGAAATGGAAGATTCGAGGTCCACCTCCACCACGACGAGCGCTGCCCCTTCCGTCTCACCAAAGGAGGAAGCGCTGAAGTCAGTGCTAGCGGATTTCACTGCCTGCATCACAGCACCTAGCACTGTGCCCCCTCCTCAGCAGTCCTGTAACCCCCAGACCAGGACTGCATGTGGGACCAGAGGTGGTGAAGCAGCATCAGGGCCCATGGAGCTTCCAGAGGACGGGGCAAAGTGTAGCTCAGTGCCCAGCCCCGGGCCCTTGATGCCCCGAAATGGCAGAAAACGTGGCAGGTCATACAGTCAGAGTCCCAGGGTGAGCAAGAAGCGGAGGACCACAGCGTCAGTGGCCTTCAGCGGCTGTGCTGCCGTCCCGGCAGTCCTGCACGGGGAGCCTTACCTGAGACCCCCCCTCAACGTGCGGGTGACTCCGCCCCCTGCCAGCTCCCAGGGTCTCACCACGCCACCTCCTGGAGAAGCTTGTGGCTCAGATCAGCTTGTGTACGCCGTGGTGAGACCGGATACGCGTCTTGCTGCAGGTGACATTCCATGTACGTCTACTGAAGATGACCTTCTCCTTGGTGCACGCCGGGCCCCCGCAGAAGGTCTTTGTAATGAGATGCTGCTACCTGTAACACCCTCTGCCTCCGGGGGGCAGCTGGGTTTGGTGTCATCTGGCTTGGCGCTCGGTAAACAATCTGATCCACCGCTGACCCCTTTGGGCTCAACTCATAAGGCGACTTTACCCGTCAACGGTACCTCAGCGGCCGCTCTGCACCTGGCTGTCCCACCCCAGCCCTCCCCGCCACCTTTTCCGTTGGTACCCCTCCTGGAGGACAGTCCAGATTCCAGCCCTGCCCCTCTGTCCCACTCATTCTCCTCCGTCCACATTGAAGCCTCCCTGCTCCCAGACCCCTCGACCTGCTCCCCGTCCTCCTCTGTGGCGTCAGACTGGGACTGCAACCTGCTCTCCTGGATGTCCCGACCCACTGCGAGAGGAGGCTGCGTTCTGGACCTGGAGTTTCTACAGAGGCCCTGCATGACCGTGCGGGATGTGGGATACGAGTCGCGGCTCTGCTCTGTGCTGCACCCCCCAACCCCACCTCGGTCCCTCTGTGAGGACGACACAGACCCCGCCGTGCCCTTCAGGACTTTCGAGCTCTCTGCAGAAACCCCTGTCACTCAATGACAGCATTCAGCATCAACAATGAACCTCAAGAGTTTGGAATAGGGATGGAGTTTTCTGTGATGTAGCCTGTCGCTGGTGTGTATTTGTTACGCCGCAGTGTTAAGCTGCACCACCTGTGTCGGGCGGCTTTGACATTAACTGGCAGCTGGACGTCTGTTATGCATTAACCCCATCAGAGTATTAATGTCAGTGGCAGCCGACTGCAGTGACTCTCAAGCTTTATGTCAGCTAGCCTACCTGGCACCTTTTAGTGTTAACAGTGTTTCTGTACTATACTCAGTAGAATAATATCTGAGGGTTACTGGGAAGCTCGGTCCATTAGTCTAAGTCTTACAGCTGGGCAGAGTTCAGTGAACCCCCCCTTCCATATTGATTTTGTAATATTTTTTATATGAGAGAGGTGTCTATACTCAGAGACCCATGTGAATGTAGATAAGTCAGCATCTTTTCTTTTCCGTGAAGTTAAAAGGATGATCCGTCTCCCTTTCTGAATGAAGGTTCTCTCAGTTCTGGCACCAGAATTCCTCGCTCACTTTCAGCCCGGCACCAGCTTGTCCGGGCAGCATCCGCGATCCGTGTTGTCATGAAACGATGCTTCCCAGAACTCGCTATCTACAGGTTCTATATGAAGCTACTGTATTTTGACCCACCAGGCCCTTGGTCGGGGGGGGGGGGCATCGTGGCTGGAGAGCTGGTGACTGCTTCATTTAGGTCCAGCCCCCCAGGTACAGGGTCCCCTCAGGGTGGAGGGGGTCATGTTCATGTTGAGAATGTCAACAAGCTGCAGTATTACAGAAGAACTGTTTGGAATGTCTGTTTTGGTTTTACTGATCTTATGAAATAAACCTGAAATAAAAAGTGATCTTCAGGCATTTGTTTTATTCTCTGTTCTGGAATTCTCCGTATTGAGTGGTGTCTGTCTCAGCACTGGCCTAATCAGATAGCCCATCTGGCCTAATCAGATAGCCCATCATTTAAGTATGGCCATATAGGATATAGCGTATGTCTTGTGGTAATGAAGAAACTAAAGGACTTGGGCTTTGGGGTGACAAAATCTCGGTAGGCCTATATAACTTATTCTGATATGCAAATAAGCAGAGATGGAGATCTGATTGTGTATGTGCCTGTGGTTAGAAATACCAATAATTACAGGAATAGTTAAATTTTACTTTGTTCCCCCTATTTCTATTAATTGCCTTTCTGCCTTCCATGCATAGATGAAGTGAATTTTTCGCCGACAAATTATCGTTTTTTTTTCTTTCTTCAATTTGGTCAATCCTCGTCCTTTGACAATCACTTTTTTTTTTGCCATAAACGCAGCAAGTTGTTCTACTGGAAATTGTAGGTGTTTTCTCAGAACACGAGAAGGAGGAGGAGGAGGAGGGATACTCTATGGGAAAAAGGGAGGGCTCTGCAGGGCCCACGTGTTCCCCCAAGCGCAGATCCGACGCTCCTCTCCCCTCCCTCTCTAGCCGCCGCTTGCAGAACCGCAGTGGTGGCGAAGACGAATGACCCTCGCACCCTAGCTGGAAATCATGTCCGTGTACATAGTTCTCCCCCCTCCGCACACTTTTTGCGTTTTCGCTTCCGATTTCCATTCACTGACTGTTACTGCGTCCTTTTTCCGCACGGTCACGATGCTCTTCAGATTTGCCAGGGGGGCTTTTTATAACTAAAAAGCAGCAATGCCGGGGGAAATACGAGAAAACCGTTAGAGCTTTAATATCAGCTGTATTTTTCATCGTCATCCGCAGTTCATCTTTGATCCCCCTCCCCATTATACACTGTTCATTCCTCGCACTTCATGTCATTCCTGGGGACTATGTGAACATCATGCTGGCGATGCGGTGTCTGGTGTTTGCTGCAGTGAGTGCACGCTTTGCCGTGACAGGTAAGGGAGACGGAGTGAGGGAGGGGAAAAGACGCAAAGCTTCTCGTTTATCAACTTTTCTCCTCCCTTGACACGTTCAGTGTTTTGCACCAATAATCACTTTTCCTACTTTTAATAACGATTCGGCGGTAAGTCACTGCTGGCTTTTGTCGGTTCGCATTTGCGTCCTTCTCGTCAGCTGAAGCGATGCGATGGATTTGCTGCATTGACAGATTTTTCCCCGCAGCTTGTCTGCCGAGCTAAAACCGTACTGTATATAAAACGGCAATGGCAAAAAAAAATCGTTCGTGCTATCCAGTTGGGCGTTTATTGCAATTGATACATTGCCTTGGTAGTCACGTTTTTAATTTACGATAGCAAAACAGATTGATTAATCACCTCCCCCGCCACCTTGCCTGCAATGTGTCCTGCATTTCAGCCTGGAGCGTCCCCGTGGTGGCGGATGAGGGGGCATGGCAATGGCCAGCGCCGAAGGACCACGGGGACCGGACCGGTTCCGAAGAGGAGGTCACCAAACCCAAGCGGCTCCTGCAGCAGATCGATTCAGATGGAGAAGTTATTCACAGCCGTCTGGACACCAGGGTGAAAAATACCACGGAGGGGGCACAGGTGAGTGACAACTAACTGTCCCTAACTTCTGGTTTCATTGTATCAAAACGTTGATCGATTTGAAATGGATATGAAGTATGGTAGTGATGCAGTCATTTATCTACATGAAATCCTCTGGGAAATTCCCTAAGGAATTTTTTGAACACTTCAAAAGTTGGACTATATTTAGACTTCTTCAGGTAACACCATAAATGTCCCCAGGAGAGACATCAGTACTTGTGTCTTTCATTTTGTCCTGTAATCAGTGGTGCTTGACTCTGTTCAGCTCACACCTTCCAGCCTTCTACTCACTTCTTGAAATTCCACCTGCTTAGTACACCCCCCCGACCCCCGACCCCGTATAAGTGCTGCTAGACTGATCATCTAATAATCAAGTAGTTCCTGAATTTGAGTAATTATTGTCTCTGTAGTAGGTGTTGTCTTTGCCGATGCTTGCCTCCGAAATTAGATGCGGTTTGTGGAGTCACAGATGCACCGAAGCAGGACGACAGTCAGGGGCTTAGTGCTCAGGCGGGGCCGCCTACAAACAGCTGTACACCAGCATCACCCGTGGGGACGTGTGACATATGACATATGGATGCACTTTTGAGCGGTTTTGCTCCACGGTATGGTTGCTGGATTTTGAGTAACTGCTAACACAGAAATAGTTTTAAGTATTATGTTTGAGAAGCACTGCCCCAATACTGATCATTAAAATGACCGTAAAGGGTTGTGTTGTAGTCGGTGAAGTAGTCTGTCTGTAACGGAGAGGTGTGTGGCTCAGTGCGTTCGGACGCTGTGCCTGTGGTCAAAAGGTTGCTGGTTCAAGTCTTGTGCTTGGTTCCTGAGCAAAGCCCTTAGTCCCTGCTGCTTCAGGGACTGGCTTTCTCAGTTGTATGTTGCTTTGGATAAGATTGTCCTCTAGATATGGAGAAGTAGATGCTGTGGTGCAGACCTCTTATGGTGCATGAAGACCCTTAAATGTGAGGTGTTCTGTGATGGGGTGACCTCGTGGTTTAGGTATGCTGTTCTTTAAAGAAATTTAATTGGCAGCTGATTTGAACAAAATTTCAAATGCAGATGCAAAATGGAACAATAATGCAACAAGTAGGTATGACTTCAATCCTAAAAAAAAACCAGCGAGCATATGTGAGCTCAGTGAAGGAGATCCTGAAGCATTTCCATGTTAGGATAGGGTTAGGGATCTATTGATATTCAGGGGTATGTTGAATAATTAACCTGTCGGTAAACTGGAGAGCGGACGTGGGGAGTGTTGCACTCCATCCTAGTGATGAAAAACGAGTGAAAAGGAGAAATACCTTAATTGCTTAATAGAATGTGTTATCAGAGGTCATTAGCCTAATTAAAGGTACAGGTTGAGTGAAGGTGAGGCTAGTGTCAGTTCTGGTAGCACACACTGTTTGTTATGGTGTCTGTCCGTATTGTATTTTCAGGCAGGGACCCCTTGATGATTTCTGAAGTGTGTCTCTTGGCTGTGTGTGTGTGTGTGTGTGTGTGTGTGCACATGTGTGTGTGCGTGTGCGTGTGTGTGTGTTTGTGAACACCGCAGTGTTTGACTACATGCTGCACAGGTTCTGCAAGAACCCGCGATCTTCCTGGAGGGGGGCCGTGATCCTAAATCGGTGTGCCTGTTGCCCCACTGCCTGCTTGCCCCTAGGTGACAGATTGCCTGGGGCCCTCCCCAGCACACAGGCGTGCCCTCGCAAGGCCCCGATGCCCCTGATTACGTTTCACACCTTGCCCTCTCCTGTTACCACCTCTATAAATATTGTCTGTCAATCAATGTCCGTCTCTCACCGGTCATCGCAGTCAGGCGACCTTGGTCTGCCCTGAGCATATGTTTCGCCCGTCTCCGGCTCCCGCACGAACCAGATCGGGGCAAGGTTTCATGTCCTGGGCAAGGGACTGGATGCCCTCTTGCCAGCCAGGTGAATGGCCCCTGTCCTATTTCTGGAAACTGTTTAAGGAAATGGAGTCTAGTTCTGTCTTATCCTGTGGTGCCCTGGCACTCCAGTTCTCAATAGGCCATTCTAACCAATGCTCCTGAATTTATGTAATTATTGTCTTTGTTGTACTGTATGTATTCATACATGATTTCCAACAGTTTTTGAAACGCAACAGAATTACCATGAGGTTTAGACTCCAGGAGGCAAACAAACTCAATCGCGGTACAGGCAGTCCCTGGGTTAAATATGTCCGACTTACGGACAACTCGTACCTACTTCATACTTACGAACGGACTGCTGTAAAGCCTATCATATAAAAAATACGGGGGGCTTTGTGACGCTCGTGAAAACATTGTGCTCCTTCAGTGCTTCATCATAGTACTGTATGTGGTTACTTCTACTGTATTATTATTATTAATATTATTACAAATTAATTATTATTATTAATAATAAATAATAATAATAATAGATAGACAGAAATTTAAATACAGATTTAGGGAATGGATCTCATTTGTAATCTGGGGACTGCCTGTCATCCCGTCTTTACTTTCTAGGTCGATAATAATTGCTGCAACTAACCTCTGTTAATATAACGGCAGATAAAAAGGAACTGGTCACCAGTTAGGGACTGGGAGCCATAGCCCACCCGGCCCACGCGAGCAGTCAAGGTCCCTCCACTGCACCCACAACCTCAGTATTTCTGTTCACATACTTTTTAAATCATCACAATGTTTCATTCTTTCATCCTCTGTGACAGCGGGTTCGTTTGCAATTGTGACCAGTCTTGCAAACCTCGCACACCTGCGCCTGTAACCTTTATTATAAACGCCCCCTCCCCATTTTAACCTTTAAATGTCCTGTGACATCACTACTGGATAGTAACTGGTTGTTAGTCATTTTCTAATTACCATGGAAAACTTGCCAAAATTAACTCTGATGGTCGGACCACTGTTCCCTATTACTCACACACTAACTAACGTGTCGCTAATTAGATTGGAAGAACATTAATGTCATTGTGGCTTTAAGGATGAGATAGCCAATAAACTGGGGTTTGTTTTTCAGTGACGCACCGTAAACATTGGCATTTGTTCTGCCCTGTAAGCGACTCTCTGTGCCCTCAGGCTCAGCCCCTCCATCTGGCCCAGAGCAGTTTCCTGGTGGAAGCCTTTGGGACCTCCTTCATCTTGGACCTGGAGTTAAACCAGTGAGTGGATCCTTTGGACTTGGACGTGTGATGCTGTCTTCATGCTCCAGTTGATGCGTTTGCTTGTAGTCTCTCTAAAAAAAGAATGACCATATGGAGATAGAAGGGTATCGACGGGAGCCATTACTGTGAGGTCCCAGGCATGCGTGCATGCACACACCACACTCATACACGCACACACCACACTCATACACGCACACACCACACTCATACACGCACACGCCACACACATACACACCACACTCATACACTCACACACCACACTCATACACACATACACACCACACTCATACACGCACACACCACACTCATACACGCACACGCCACACACATACACACCACACNACACACCACACTCATACACGCACACGCCACACACATACACACCACACTCATACAAGCACACGCCACACACATACACGCACACACCACACNGCACACGCCACACACATACACGCACACACCACACACATACACGCACACACCACACTCATACACGCACACGCCACACACAAACACGCACACACCACACACATACACGCACACGCCACACACATACACGCACACACCACACACATACACGCACACGCCACACTCATACACGCACACGCCACACATATACATGCACACGCCACACTCATACACGCACACGCCACACTCATACACGTACATGCCACACATATACATGCACACGCCACACCTACACTCACATGCCACACTCATACACACCACACACATATACGAACACTCTACACACCTACACGCACACGCCACACATATACATGCACACGCCACACCTACACACACACGCCACACACATACACGCACACTCTACACCAGGGTTCTTCGACTCTGGACCTTGATTCCAAATCCAGGCCTTGTTTTCAGTTCTCCCAGGTAGTTGTTTAATAATTACTGACTCTGATTGGTCAGAGGCTTCACACCTAGCTCACAGGTAAAGGAAGGCTGGAAAACCAGCAGTGCTCGGACCTCGAGGACCGTGAGTTGAATAACCCTGCTCTACACACATACACGCACACGCCACACATATACATGCACACGCCACACCTACACGCACACACCACACTGATACACGCACACACCATACACATACACGCACACGCCACACACATACACGCACACGCCACACACATACACGCACACGCCACACTCATACACACACGCACAGTCCCCACTATTGCTAAGTACATCATTCCACTGCTTCCTCCTCAACCCCAGGAGAAGTTGTGTGATCAGCACATTGCATTATTCATGTTTGTAAAATGTAGAGCTCCCCCCATAATGAACACAAAACCCTAAGGTACTGTACACCATGCAGGACAGGGGGTGAGATATCGGTTACTCTAAGCAGATTGTGATGAAGAGGAGGGTTATGACTCCATTAACCATCATGAAGCTGTAACACTGATAAGGCCGGTCATTTGTCTGGAGTGTATGTCACATTGGTGCTCGCTTACCCCGCATGCTGCGGCTGTATCTACTGCATGAATCATTTAAAGTTCGACTGAAATTCTCAGCTGTCAGAAAATCACCGGTGAGCATCCAACGGTCATCCATGGCGTGTCCGGTGTGTGCGTGTTAGCCTGTGGTTAGAGGAGCACACCTAAGTCCAGAAGTGCAGTGGGAATTCATGCTGTCACACGCCACTGTGCAGGCAAAGACCTCAGAAATAACAACAGACCAACCCGGTCTAGGTTGAGAAAATCAACACAGCGTCTGTGGCTATACTTGTGCCTATTAAATGACTCTCAGATAATGTTTCTGTTCCCTGCACAGCAACCTCCTGTCTTCGGATTATGTGGAGAGACACTTTGACAAAGATGGAAAGCCGTCACAGACCTTGGTAGGAGAAGAAGCTGGCTGAGGATCTGGGGGGGAGGGGGGATTGACAGAGTTAGCTACTGGTTATCAGCATACGGTTTTAGCTGTGGGTTGGGGCATATTATAGGATGAGATATGGTTAGGCACTAGGAGACTCATTTTGTAGACTTTCGATCTACAGACTGGCTTGTTCATCCACCTTCCAGCTGCTTATCCAGTAGAAGATCACAGGATTATCTGCTTATACTGACGTAAAATAGTAAAATGGCAAAGTGAAAACCAGCTTTATAAATACTGCTTTTAATTAATCTGTCACGTTACAGTCTGAGCTGACTTTGTAAACAGGATGTTGCATTAATTTTTGTATAATATTGTAATTTCTTTAACTTATGAATGCATTTTTGTATCTCAGTGTTTATGCCGTTTCAAGAGCACGATTCCAACAATTTTCAAGAACATTTCTGTGGACCTGGTGAGCTTTGGAAATTTAATGCAAGTTCTTCGCTGGATTAGATGAGGACTGAGTTGTGGAAATGTGCTCTTCATTTGCGGCGTGTGGAGGTCATGCTTCCCCCAACTGGGACGCCGATGAACCCATGTCCCAGTCAGGCTGACTCACTGCCCTGAATGGGGATGCAGATCAAGGCGGCACTAATGGGTCGGATGAAAGACTGAAATAAACGGAAATCATTTAGAGGAATCTGTATATGCTTATTACAGCAGAAGTGAGGATATTGACTTTCAATAGGGAAAAGGATTTACTGCCTTAGACATTCGGTCTGACAGCCGCTGCAGCTTAATACCACAAACCTCGAATCGCCATGCAGCTGCCTGCTGCACCTAGAACAGTGTGTTGAACCTTTTGAAGCATCCTGATTGGCCCAAGGGCCAGTGCTGAGCCACGTGTTCAGATTAACCAGGTGGTCTGATTGGTTCTGGACATGAGTCTGTGTTTCTTTTTTAAGGGACATAGGAGAGAGCTCCTGGACAGAGTCTTTGGGATGTCAGTGATACCCGTGGACAGGGCTGACCCACTGAAAATTGGGTTGGGGGTGACAATTGGGAAAGTTCTAGGTTGAGTGATGTGCTTGGCGCAGAATAGAAATTTCCATGATTGTGGGCAGACGCATGCATGACGGAAGCAGGGCACCTTCCCGGCAAGGAGAGCATAATGGAGCAGGATGTGGGTGGTGTCATGGTCTAAGTGCTGGAGCCGAGCAGCATCTCCTTCCTCACGCAGAGCTTCTCTGAAAAGGAGGAGACTGGCGCAGTTAAGCACGAGGAGCAAAGCACTGCCCCTCCACCCACTCTTTCCGAAGTCTCGCACGCCCACATAGCCAATCAGGTGGCGGTTCCCATGGCAACCACTACCTAGAAGCCCCGGCCCACACTGGCCCAGTCCTGTCACTCAGCAGTCGACAGTGCACACAGAAAGAAAAGAGAAAATAAAGAATTGTGGAAATTTTTCAAAGACAGGGATGAAATGCATAGACGATAAGTAATTACCCATTATCTGATAGTCCTTTGCTACTGAGGGCTGTAGTCAGATCTTAAATTCTTTCTGTTTTACTGGCCTAGTTATTTCTTGGTCTCTGTAGCTATTTTCTGAACTACTCTCTGGAATTGTTTGTTTGTTAGCTTTAAGTTATGCAAGGTCTATGCGTGGGCTTGGAGAATGTGCACGGGAGTTTAAAAGTTTTAACACCCCACCAGGAAGTAAGTGGGAGGGTACCTGAAACTGTGTGTCAACCACGGAGAGAGAGAGAGAGAGAGAGAGAGGAGGACAAAGGGGCTGAGTGGAGAGAGAGAGTCCAGATGTCTTTTTCCCTTGGACAGAAATAGTCAGACTGCAGAAGGTAAAGGAAAGCACACGTGTTCGGGCTGCGGAGGGAGATGGTGCTAGTTACAGCCGTCTGTCAAGCCCAAGGTCTCGTCCTAGTCAGAAGGCATCAGGAATCTTCTCATCTCTACATGCGCAGTAATTCTGTCCTGCAGTAGAACCTCACACACTTTTGAGAAGCACGTCTCTGACCAGCGTCATTGTTTGGGTGCCCCGTGCTTCTGTCCTTTAGCCTCCGCCAGCCGGAAATCTGTAAGCGAGGCCCCTGAGACACGGAACGGTGCTCTGCGATGCGATGCTGCGTCAGAGCAAAGAGCACCTGTCAGGCCGGCCACCGAGGAAGAGCGCGGAGGACTAATGTGCGAAAGCGGAGTCAGTTTGCCCTGTCAGGCAGCTCTCGCCGCTGCTGCTTGGCAGGAGTGGGTGAGATGGACTAAAAATTGTATTGCAATACTTTTAGTGTTGTGGAATACATTTCGAGCCTTTCCTGTTTGTTGCTCATATTAAATGCAGGATATTTAAAGAGATACATCCACTTTAAGCACATCCCTTCTCTTAATTTAAAGAAACTTCATGAAGTTTTCATGATTCTGTGCAAGAGTCAGGAAGACTGTATCTGCATCTCCAGGTTGCTCACCCCGGTATCCTGGCGTATCTGCACTTGTTTGACACTCCCCGCTGTTCCTGACGGCATGTTTATGGGCTGGAGGGCTGGTCTGGCTTGGAAGGCAGATGTTATGTAATATCTGCAGTCCCCTGGGGGCGTCGGCACGCGCTGTGGCAGACACCTGCAGCGGCTCGCACGCACACAGGGAGCTGCCGACCTGCACCATGACCCCTGTGTCCACACTCACTCACGAGCGCACGCTTCCACGGTCACCCGCTGTCTCATACTGACGTGGCATATCGTGGACTGAGCCCTTCAGGTTCCACTCATGCTCGATCGGGGTGCTGCAGGGCTTTGGGGGGGGGGGCAGGTTAAAAAAAGGTCATGCAGAACCTTTAAAGCTCATGCACAAGTACGAATCCACATATCTGTGGTTATTTGAAGTGTTACGATTATTTTAATGCATTTGTGAAAATGCAGTTTTACAAAATACGAGACCCCCCCCATCCCGCACGTGCCTCCTAGAGGCCAGCTGACCCCATACTTTCCTATCCTATCATTTAGTCCTCATTTTTCATCTCCTGTTCGGGTTATAGACACCTGCAGACCTATGCGTCCGTGCTGCAAGGTGACCCATCATGTCGCAGCATCAAGTCCAAATAGAGGATCTGTGCCACCCGGGAGCCAAAATACACCTGTGTGTAATTTACACCACGACGTGTGTGTGCACCGGGCTGCGAGGAATGTGTGGTGCGCTAACCATAGTCTTGCTAACACTGCAGAATGGACACCTGATACTCCTCTGCTGACAGCCTGCTGGGATACAATCTGATTTCCTCCATTTACCCCCCTGTGATCTCTGACCTTATTTATTTATTTCACAGAGGATAAGTGCTGCACACATGCACGGTAATGCCTGCGGACACTCTTAAGTGGCTGTAGTGCATCTGCTGCAGAATGCTTTATGCATTTCCTGCCAGTTTAAAGCTCTTTTTTTAAAATGTTGATTCAGTATATCTGAGTAAGGTGGGGCTGGTGACCCCCCCCCCCCCCCATAGGCTCCATGGGCTGCTGCAGGAGATGACAGAGGAAACATCCGGCTCTCTGTCATGTATGTTAGGGAGGATCAGTGGGTCGCACTTCCTCCTCGCATCCTTTAGCCTTTGATTCCCACCCCGGCTGCCTGTGTTCAGTTTGCATATCCCCCCCCCAGGGCTTCCGGATTCCTCCTGCAGACCAGAGAGCTGTGGCTGAATGGGTGACCTTCCAATAAGGGGAACCCCTCTGCCCCATGAAGGGATCCAGGCGAAGCATAATCCTGTGCTGGATAAGCAGTTATGGAATATGGATGGGTGCACAGCTATATATCTATTATCCTGGCTGGGGGGGGCTGTTTATGTTGGAGAGGTACAGCAGTGACCAAAATTGTGGAAATGCTTCCAATTGTTAGTGATTGCACAACTTTATTCAACTGTTGCTCCAGTTACTTATTTAGTGTAGATTTTGTAACATTCTTTGATTGTTTATAAACATTACTGGCAATATTCATATAGTTATATTTAAAGAGTAATGCCAAAAATGGTAGTTCTTTCCACAATTTTGGCCAGTAGTGTATCTGTTCTGGTTGACATGGTCTTTCTGTGAGATGTTATTGGTTGACACGTTATGCCCCAATAAGAAGCCATGCTTGGTTGATAGAGTTTATTTGTTGGGGGGGGGGGGGGGGTTAGGGGATAAGCCTGTTGCACCTTGGGCCTCCCAGGACATGCTGGGAGTCCCAGTGTAGCCTTGGCGTGACTGGCGCCCCCTGTGTCCGCAGGGGGGGGAGCACTGTTACTACCACGGGCGGGTGAGGGACGTGTCGAGTTCCTGGGCGGCTCTCTCCACCTGCCACGGCCTCCAGTGAGTAGCTACGCCTCATGTTCTTCATGGCGGACTTCTGGACCTCTCTGAGTAGCTCAGGACTGCCGTTCCTCTGGAAAAGCACTTTCCGGTGTTCTCCGGGCGTGAACCCAACCTTTCATGTCTCTGTGCCGTCTACCTCCTATAGGGGCATGTTCTCTGATGGGAATTTCTCCTATGGAATCAAGCCCGTTCTCCACAGTGGTGATCAGGTAAGCTGTGGTCTGGAATGCAGATGTTAGCCCTATTACTCTTTGAGGTACATTGCGGCGTATTATATTATTCTATCGCTCAACAATGATAGTATGAGAGGGAAGGGAATTGTACCCCCACCCCATGCTGAATAGAGGGAAGTCTTCATGTCACTGGTTTGGGGTAAGACATAGCAAGACGTGCCCTGGACCAGATGGGCGATATGGATGCCAGCAGCAAGGCAAGCGCAGCATGGGGCCCCTCGATGGAGATGCTGACAGCCTTGCTGTGACAGGTGGCGCGTGTGTTGGTGTCTGCAGGCTGGCAGCCAGTGACCCGTTCTCTGCTGCGGAGGGCCGTTGAATTAATCATCAACCCAGTACGATCCACCCCTCCGCTGCACAGCCAGACGCACACATGCGCTCGGCCGTCTGCGTGGAGAGCAGCCGTCTCCACAGACAGCATTTGTGTGGCTCCAGAAGGAGAAACCATTTGGGAGGAAGAGTGGAAACTTCTCTTCTACTCCTCTTTGGCAGATCCCCCGAAATCATTTCTCGAGTGTTTTCTGGCTCATTTGAAGCAAGCATCCTCCCGTTAGGTGTGTCTGGAAAAGAGCAGCCCTCCCTACTTCGCTGTCGCATTGTTCCCCCGGTCGCAGGATAGAAAGCAATGAGTCGATGCTCTGTCCCACAGCAGGCCGCTGTCCTAATTGACATTGGGAGTGAGGTGGAGTGGGGATTTCATGGCAGCTGCGGCTGTAAACAGCCATGTCGCATAGGACCAGACAACCTCAATACGTCTATCTGTGGTTGGAAGAGCAGGATGAGAAAATCAGCCCCTCTTGCTCTGTTTTTCTGAATCTTCTTGCAGACATCACCATGGCCTAGAACAAACAGACCGTGAATGACTAAGTCAGAAGGTCCATTTTATTTAATTTATTTATGAGTGTCCTAAATTTACAGTTCTAAACTGATGTTTGCAAAGTGCATATATATCTAACCTCTCCGAATCTGGGACTGTGTTTTGTAGAGAACATAGTTTACCAGTTTTTGTCACTCATCACACTACCCACTGCATTATTTTAGCGCAAACACTTTCTTTCCTATTCACTTCCTTCTACACAATTATTTAATTCCTGTGGGCATCTCTGACTGAGATGCTGAGGTCAGAGCGACCTGAGCGATTCCCAGTTATGACTCCTGGGGATATAGGTAGAGCTCCATTTCATTCCTTTGCAAGACGTATCGATCAAACCTTTCTCCGGAACATTCAATACCTTCTATTCCCCCTGCTTTCCCCTTGTGGCATCTAATGGGGTATTTTTATAAAGTAACGTGTTGTCTAAGGCTGCTGTTACCTCCTAATTTTATAGGCCATTCCAGTTCTAAAGCTTTTACAGTAAATGATGGAGGGTTGTATATGGTGTACAGCCATATATTTTTAATAGGATAAATTCTGTGAGTGAGTTTTGTGGCAGTTCTGTGAGGGTGTGGCGCGATCTCACTGTAAAGCTGCAGCTGATGTGCTGATGTCATGGCTGTGATTGGTGTTTGTTTGGTGTAGAAGGAGGATGCCCATCTGGTGCACCGGATGCCCCCCCTGGAGCTGCCACCCTTCTGTCCAGGTGTGAAGCTTCTTAGTGCCTCTACCCCCATCTTCTCTGTCCGCTGGTTCTTTTGCTCTTCGTGTTCTTTCTCTTCATTTTTCTGGCCTCTCCCAGTGTCTCGGCTCCACTCCCACACCTATACCTCAGAAGCCCCCAGTCTTTCCCGTGTGAACTCCTCCGATCCCATGGCTCTGGTTCATCCATGCTTCTTCTGTTCCATCTAATGTCTCCTCAGTGTGTCCTCTCCAAATTTGAAGTCTCCCGGACCTCTTTTCCAAACCTGGATTTTAGGTCCATGAAGTAAATGATGGAGGCATATATCCAGGGGTGCACGTAACTGGTACGCAAGTACGCATTCACCTTTAAGAACGATACGTGTGACAATCGATTGTTTGTAAAAGCGCAAATTGGAACTTATTTTATGTGCATTTGCGCCGCTACGACAAGAAAATACCTTGCATTTTAACCTGTATACCACAAATGAAGTCGAGTTGCATATAAAGATTAAAAAGCATTATATTTTGTTTTCATAGCAGCGCAAATGCACATAAAATAAGTACGAATTTGCGCTTTTACAAACAATCGATTGTCGCACGTATCGTTCTTAAAGGTGAACGTGTACTTGCGTACCAGTAATGTCCATCCTTGCATATATCACTTTTCTCATTTACCTACTTCTTGAGCCATCATTCCTTATTCCCAATCCTCCGGTCCCACATCTCCGAAACCACCATCCCATTCTTCCCCTAACAGGATGCACACACAACAGCAGTGACACGGGCGAGGACGGGGACATCAATGGTGACGCCAGCCCGGAATCGGGGGAGCCCACGTTTAGCGAGGGGCTGAGGCGCTCCAAAAGACAAGTGAGGCGTCTTCTCCGAGAGCAGCACCCATCCCCCTCTCACCTGAGAGCATCTTCTCATTGCTGTATGAACAATGCGCAGTGGAAGAAGATGGCAACATGTCTTACTGACCAATACAGGGAATAAATTAGCATAGCTTGGGAACCAAGTGTGAGACTTACCACCTGATCAGCTTTGCCGATTATTTAGTTGCAGATCTGGGTAAACTCAATATTAGATTACAGGTTGAATCAACTAGTTGAACCTACCTTTTTTTACCCGCCCCCCCACCTCCACCCCACCAGGTGCGTCGGACTCAGCATACAGTTCAAACTGAAACTAAGTACATTGAGCTGATGGTGGTCAATGACCATGACCTGGTGAGTAAGAAAGCATGTTCTGCAAAAATACCGGCCTTTGTAACTACGATGATGTACATTATCAGCGAATGTGAAGAGCACATGAAGTATGGAATACAAATGATGCTGCAGCTTAGGGTTTTGGTCTAGAGAATGCATTTTAAATACGTATGTGAAAACATTTTAAAAGCATTATATATGCATGTCTTAAAACATGAAATATCTATACCAGAACTTGAACGGTTTATTTTTGAACAAAGAATCAGACACTTACAGGTTTCCCCTGACATCCGAAAGTAAAGTGTTCCTGTGAAACCTTTTGTAAGCCGAAATAGCATAAAGTGAAGAACCAATTAACGTTTATTTATTATGGTTAAATTATTTGAGCGTTCCAAGACCCAAAAAATTACCTACCAAATCATACCAAATAACACATAAAACCTAAAATAACAGTAACAGTGGGAGCGATATTATAAACACATGGCCTCAGTAGAAATAATGTATGTACAGTGTAGTTTCACTTATCAGAATCAATACACAGGTGGCATCCTATCACGGTGTCATGCTTGAATTCACTGAGCTCCTGAGTCTGCATGCCTAGGTACTTGATTTTATACATCTGTGGCTATGGAAGCGATTGGAACACCTGAATTCAATAATTTGGAGGGATATAATAATAATAATAATAATAATAATAATACATTTTATTTATAGGTGCCTTTCTAGACACTCAAGGACACTGTACAGTTAATGCAGAAGAACAATATAAATATTATTGCGATGTCCCAATATAGTGTATATTAAAGCTGTTAAGGTATGTCAGGATGGTAAGGTATACTTACATGGTGCTTATGAATGCATTATGAATGTATTATGAAGGTGTGCTGAATATTCCATGAATGTATTATAACAACGTTATGAATGTGCAGTTAATGTAAAGCATGACTAAATATATTTACAGAAACGCAGATGGTATAGCTTACTGCACAATATATAAGATATAGCCTAAATAACAATATAAAGTGCAGTGTAATAAATACATAAATCAGTAACATAGATGTTTATTAGCATTATGAAGTACTATGTGTTGTACATAATTGTACGTGTTATACTTTATATGACTGGCAGTGCACGCGAGTAATGCGCTTGCACTGTGACATTATGACAGCTACCATGTCACAAGGTGATTGGAATTTTTCAGCTCCATTATAATCCTATGGAACCACCATTGTATATGTGGTCTGGCGTTGACCGAAATGTCATTATGCAACGCATGACTGTATATCTGTAATTGGCTCGCTGATAAACACAAACTAAACGCTATTTTCACTTTTCTCCTTTTTTCATAAAAGCAAAAATCTTCTTTGGATTTCTTTTGTTTGTTAACGAAAAACAGATGCTAAAGTAGGTCTTTTGTAAAAGCGAATGTTTGTAAAGTGGGGGATACTGGTACATTTATTTTGTTTTATCTGAAAGATGTGGGGGAAAATTTTATGGATTAAAAACTGGGTGGTTTCGATCCACCCATTGAGAGTGCTTTTGTCCTTGGTCTCTCTCTGCTCCTGACACGTGCTTGCTTGCCCTGTCCATCCCCTCTACCGTCCTTAACCTTAGTTCCTGCAGCTTCGCAGTTCCACCTCTCAGACCAGGAACTTCGCTAAGGCCGTGGTCAACATGGCCGATGCTGTGAGCACTCTTTTTTTTCAGCGGTCTCAGTAACCCAAACTCTTATAGGCATGTGCATGTGCATGAGTGCTGCCTAGTCGGAAATAAATTGGCACTCCAATTGTTCACAACAATTCTCTGAGTGTAACTTACTGTGCTCCAGATGTTAAATATTAATCACAGACCCAACTTAACATCACAGGGCCTTGAGCGTGTGTGTGTTTTACACCAGCACCATATGTGCTTGTTGTTTCCAATGTGCTAAACATTATTGAGTTAAAGGGAGGAGGACAGTGCGGATCTCTGAAACTTGTCATTGGCTGCTGATCACCGTTATTGTGCTGACCTGATTGCAGATCTACAAGGAACAGCTGAACACCAGGATAGTTTTGGTTGCCATGGAAACCTGGTCATCACAGAATATGGTTTCTGTTGGCAATGACCCCCTCCTGACCCTGCGTGACTTTATGAAGTACAGAAAAGAGAGCATCAAAGAGCACAGTGACGCCACTCACCTACTCTCGTGGGTACTCTTTCTCCCCCCATTAATGGAAGGGATAAGCGATAGCATTGGTGAAATGCAAGGGGTGTGATGGATGCGTTGAGTAGGATGGGGTGCATTATGCAAGGCGAAGGCTTGTTAGAATGAGTAAGTGTCTGTGAGAGTTGGGGAGGGATCTGCACTGCTGCCAATAATCCAGGCTGCTGATGCTGACATTGCTGGCGAATCTCCTCCTTGCCTCCAGAGGGCGCACCTTCCAGAGCAGCCGCAGTGAGACAGCCTACATTGGCGGCATCTGTTCCATCACTCGAGGTGGAGGCGTCAATGAGGTGAGGGTTTCTCCTTTGTGTCATCATGCCATTATAGTTCTCTATTTCTTTGCCATTTTATCCATCAGAGACCCAGCATATTCAATTTTTTTTCTCGGTTATTCTCCTCACCTACAGCCCTTCTTCCCCTTGTGATCTCGTCTGTCTTCCCAGCAGACACGCAGCCCTGTTGGCAGGGACCTTGCATCCCTCCCCATGTTTCCTGGCACTTTCGTAATGATCTCAGTGCTAGAAATATCCTGCCCGTGCACCGTAGCGTGTGCTTGCCGTGACGTTTTGGACAACGGCTTGCGGTTTCATGTGGCTGCCCAGCCCCCGAGTGTCCCGTCGCGGCCTCTGTCCTTACTTACCGTCTCTGTGTTTTCCAGTATGGCAATGTGGGCCCTATGGCCATCACTCTGTGCCAGAGCCTGGGCCAGAACATCGGAATGATGTGGAACAAGGACCAGACCACCGCAGGTAACGTCCCTAAAAGCACCCACAATCCCACACCACCTGCTCCATGCTTTCCCAGAGCTAGGAAATCCCCACTCATTCCAGAGTTTGGGAAGCACACAGGGGCTATCTTCCGTGCTGATTGGCTGTGGTTAGATCCCTCTGCTGGGTGGTGATTAGTCAACGTAGCTGCCTGCTCTGTGAAGGGACGCCTGGAGCAGCTCGACTTATTAGCGCTGCAGTCCTGCTCCAACATTTGCGATCATGCAGGATCGGCTCCAAACTCATTAGAAGCTTTTGCAGGGGTTATAATCTATGCGACTGGTCATCTGGTCATGTGCAATGGGCCATTTTAGAGTACAGACCCGACTTATTTTGAGTGTCCGCCAACCCTTTTATGACGTTCTGTGTCACTGGCCACTTTGCCACGAGTAGCCAGAGCGTGTTTACTAGCCGTAGCTGCTGCTTTCTCCGTGGCAGTTTGGCCTGCTGGGAAACCCCTTGAGGAGTTACTGTAGGCCATCCGTAATTAAGCGACAGACCAATTTCAACAAGGTCGGCGGCCTTTAGAATGGGCAAGCTGCTGAGGAATGAGTCAGTCCATAGGAACTTGCTCTGTGACTCTGGCTTCTGGTCAGGTCAAGCCAGGCCACAAGTTCACCATCATTTAGGGACAAGGTGCTGGGGCTGGGTGACCTATTGTGCATACTACACAAAAATTATGTTGGTAGAAAGACCCGGATTACAATCTAGGTTCTGGTGGACTGAGCATATAATCTAATGCAAAAATGAAGCAAGGAAGGAATGAATGAGTGAATGAATGAGTGAGTGAGCAAATGAATAAACAAACGAGAGGGTTTCTTCTTCCAGGCCCAAAGAACATTGAATTTTCTATTGGGATACGTTCTGTTCCAACTATACACAAAAAACTCCAGTGCTGAAATGATCCCCTAATGTATAGTGTCTTAACCCCAACACTGGAAAGATATGGACAGTAATCAATAGTAATAATAATAATAATAATACAGTATCTGTAGTTATACTGTGTTATTATTATGCTGTAACAATAATACTTCCATCAAGGGTTATTCCATGCTTTGTGACCATAGCTTCTAGGATAGTCTCCAGATCCCTGAGAGATAAGGCATGTGGGTGTAAAGGATGGCTGGATGAATGGAATACAATAATAATACAGTATCTGTTATCTGAATCGGCATAGAAAGACACAAACTTATAATGTAAAATACGTTTTTGTATATTGTTGGTGGAGGTGGGGGTGTCTTATTTTAAGAGATTCTATTATAGCTATTCTTTATGGAAGCAGGAATGCTTAGGTCTCACCAAGGGACAGGCTGTTGTCATTATCATTAATATGTAAGTACTGAACTTAGAAATTAAACACTGTAATATTTAAAGCCCAGATTATTTTTGTCAAACTATGACAGGAGCTCAGTTGCCTTTACTTCCTATTATTAGTGACTATAGATAAAAGGAATTGGTGTGATTGGATATTAGGTATTCCTTGACCCCTTTGGACAAAAAACAAGGTTTCTTTTGCTGGGTAGTGGAGAGTGGGCTTGAAATCGCAGTTGTGCAGCTCTGCTATGGCCTCTCTGTGCTGGGTGCGCTGCTGGGTGACCTCGCTTATAATCCTGGTAGACTCTGATGGCTCTCCTGCATTTTCTGCGGCTCTCTTCTGCCCCTGCAGGCTTCATGGGTGACCTTATATTTCAGCTGGTAGCAATGGAAATGGCTTATGCCCGCTCTTGTTTTCTCTCCTGGCTTTGGTTTAACGATGCGAGGTTTGTTGGGTGGTCAAGCAGCACAGGAAAGAGAGCACTTGGATGAGGGCCTTCTTTGGTAGGCCGATGATCCTTATGCTGTTATGGTGGTTAGTCAGCTTTGATTGATCAGCTCTGTACTCTAAAATGGTCCATTGCACATGACCAGATGACCAGTCGCATAGATTACAACCCCAGCAAAAGCTTCTAAAGTGTTTGGACCTGATCCTGCATGATCGCAAATGTTGCATAACCATGTTCTGTCTTAGATCAGCGGCTTTAGCTTTTAGCTGGACATCGCTGTTGGTTAGCGCTCCGCTTATCATTTTCAGTGCTTGTATGTGTTCACTAAGTAAGTTTGCATTGCATTCAGTCTAAGCGATCCGCTGGGCAGACTGCATGACGTGAAGCTTTGGATGTAATAGTAGATTTGAACTCGGCGGTCTTCTAAGAGGCTGACCATGGTTGCCACGTTTAAATCATCAGAGGTGGCAGGTGCTTATACCGTCTCATTGAGGCTTTGGTTAGATCCAACAATTTGGAGCTTCTCGTTCACCTGAACACCTGTCAGATGTGCAGGCAACACACAAGCTGCCTCCGACCTGGACTCTGCTTATCTCTCTCACAGCCGACTGCAGGTGCCCTGACGCCTGGCTCGGATGCATCATGGAGGACACTGGGTACGCACCACCCTCCACTAACTGGGCATACCCTTGCAACACCAGGAACTTCAGTCCCACCGATGGATGACTAAAAATATTTTATCCTCATATATGCGTCACAAGTCAATGTGAATCATTTTCCAATTGTTTAGAACACAATCGAATTTGGAGCACGGCTAACGTACTACACTGTCTAGTAATACCCAGGAATGTCTCGTCATTAGGTATTACTTGCCCCGCAAGTTTTCTCACTGCAGCGTGGAAGAGTACATTCGCTTCCTGCAGCAAGGGGGCGGCAGCTGCCTCTTCAACAAGCCCAACAAGGTGAGCAAGGAGGGACAAGGTGCTGGGGCTGGTCCACTACGCACCCAGACTCTCAGCGGACGTGCGTGCGCCGCAGTAGCTGGCTAAATCGGCGACCCCTCAGAAGTCGGCGCCCTACATCGTATAGCCATTCTGCGCCGGCACTTCAGAGGGCGAGGGTACTTCTAGGGGTTCGAGAAAGTTCACTTTGTCTAGGACATGCGTTGCCGTGCACAACTGAAAACAGCTGGCTGTGTCGCCGCCCCCCCCCAGACGTTAGTGCCATAGGTACCCCACTGTGTCGCCTACGTTTCAGCCCTGGTGGTGCTAATGCAGTTGTGAGGTACGCCGAAGTGCTGAATCTTAGTGTGCACTAGAACAGTGTAGGCATCAGATTAAAGAACCTTCATGCCTATAGTCCACTCAAAGCAGTTTACAGGCAGCCCAACAAGAATATTTAGGAAATATGTACCATGACGAGGTCAACTGACGTGGGCAGTTTTTCTAGTATGACATTTTAAAGCATTCGTTTCCACCTTTCTGTGTCCTGACCCTTAGCTGCTGGACCCCCCCGAGTGTGGGAATGGTTTCGTGGAAACGGGTGAGGAGTGCGACTGTGGCTCTCAGGTGGTGAGTCTCTGTGGCGGCTCTGTGCTCCCCCTAGTGGTCTTTTGTGATGACAGAGCTGAGAGGCAGGGCAGGGGAGAGTGAATACTGCAGACTTAATAAAAGAGGATTTATCCATTTATTACTCATTAACTGATTTTTCCAGATATTTTTATTTAGCTCAGTTCAGTTTCTCACTCATGTACTTTCTGGTAGTGTTCTGGTTTAACCAGTAAAATTTTAGTTCCTAACCGTCATTTTGTTGAAACAGGTTTTGTACTAAAACCCTGACACATAAGACTAGCCAGCTATCTACATCTTCCTCTTATCCACTCTTGGAAAATTTGCATTATGTTTACATTTCACTACGTTACGTTGTTACATGTCTGCATATTTATTGTTATAATTGTATATATTTTCTTCCTGAATGCACCTTAATTTATACTTGCCTTCTCCATAGTAGAACTGACTGTTTACTGTGCATAGGACAACAAGCTTTTAAATCTTGAATCTCATGCTACCTGATAATTGTGTAGTCTGAGCAGATCTGTCGGCTCTCCCCGCAGGAGTGTGCACGCAGGGGGGGGGCTTGCTGTAAGAAGTGCACTCTGACACATGACGCCATGTGCAGCAACGGCCTGTGCTGCCGCGGCTGCAGGGTAAGTACCCTGTGCTCCTTTACTGTGCATCCTCTGCCTCTGCTCTGCTGCTCTTGGCATCATTGAGCCCTGACTCTCTGCTTCACAATCCCTGTTTCTGTGTGCTGTGTTCTCTCAGTCTGTGCCCCACAGTCCCTGTTTCTGTGTGCTGTGTTCTCTCAGTCTGTGCCCCACAGTCCCTGTTTCTGTGTGCTG